TAATTACATTGCAATCCTGTCTTATATTTTTACTAAGTGCTCTTTCCCAAGAATCCATATGACCTCTAGCTACTTTATCATCACAATTACTGAGGTAAATCAGGCAATTATTTGAATCAGGGTTAGTGTTTATTTAAGAAGCATGATATATTATGTGGAGCTAACTCAATGTGACATTAACATTAAGTAATAGGGTAGTTGGGGGGCCAAGACACCTGATCCTATCTGATCTTGGAAGCTAAGCAGATTGGATACAAGACAGCCAATGAATGCTACATTTCAGAGAAATGAACTGGCAGGTATTCCTTGCCAGTGAAAACTCTATAAAATTCGCGGGTCTTTGAATCATAGAATCACCTAATAATAAAGTTGGAAGAGACCACATGGGCCATCCAGTCCAACCTTCTGCCCTGCAGGAAAAGCACAAAGTACCCCCAACAGGACTTGAAAACACAAACACACAGTCACCAGAAATTAAGGGTGAGTAGGACAAAAACTGACCTGAAAGAACTCCTGGAGGAGGAGGAGGAGGAGGAGGAGGAGTTGGAGGAGGAGGAGGAAGGAGGTGAAGGAAATCCCTGCCAGTCCCTGCAGACATTTACTGCCCATTCTTCTCCCCAGCCACAGCTCCTTGCTTGAAAGAAATCTGATTTTTTCGGTTATTTTAAGGATTGCACTTTAACCTTCCTGCAGAGCTTGGTTTGGAATAGAGCGAGTCCTCTGTATCCATGGCTTGAATATCTATCTATCTATCTATCTATCTATCTATCTATCTATCTATCTATCTATCTATCTCCAGAAACCAAAGCTCAACTTTGCCATTTTATGTAAGGAACACAATTTTATATATACAATGGGACTTGGGACAATGGAACTGGAAGCAAACCTCTCTCAATACTGAGGGCTCATTATATTTAACTGTAGACAGAATTTGGTTTTTATGTACCTAGTACCTGGATATGAATTGATTTTTGTTAGTGCAGTACAGTTGGGACTCTGTATCCATGGATTTTATCATTTTTTAAAAATATCCAGGGTCACATAAAAATTTACTGGGTTTGGGGGGGGAGGGGCAAGTTGACAAAGCATAAAAAGCCCTGAACTACACAATCAAAGTTTTTTGCTATAATTTATAAGGCGGCTGCTTATTTTCTTTTGAAATTCATTGCTACCTTCCACTATCCAACCTTGATTTGCAATATGCTCCCCGGTGCTTCTTCCTTTCCTGAACTCAGCTTGGACAACTCACTCCATGCATGGTACAAAATATAAGGTCCTGTGGTTACTGCAATTACTGGTGCCCCCTTTTTTGGGGGGGGGGACTGAATATATGTTGAGCATTTCCAATATGTGAGCCATTGTATTTTGTTAGAACTAGAGTAGATTCTGCCTTTGTGGCTTGAAGCAACTCTATTGGTTTGCCATTTTTTTCCTGGTGATTTATTTCTCCCAAATGCTCAGAGTGCAGCTTCCACATCACCTTCTAAAATAATAAATCCATTGTCAAATGATTTTTCCTTGAATTGATTTTTCATCATTTTATCTTTTTTATATTTGTTTAGTATACCATTTCCATTGCCTTTTTATTTTTTACTTGGCTATGTTTCCCAATTGGTTGTTTAGCATCTCCACTTTTGGTTTAAATTTCTTTTGATTTCTTGGATCTCGTTGAACACATTTCTTCTTCCTTTTTTCCCATGTTCCATTTTTCTGCCCACTTAGTATGAGGTAGCCAGGACTGAACATAGAGCACTCTGTATGTGGAGCATGTACTCTGTCATCAGTATATACTCTCACTCCAAGCAAAATAGTTGGAAAAGGAGTTGGAGAGCCCGTGGTGGAAAATGGCAAGCAGTACAATGTATGTAGTGAAAGATAGTCACCAACTATATATTAAGCAAAGCCTCTTCAGTACATACAACATTACAAAAAAAGAATTACATTAATATAATTTCTCCAAGTGTTATCAACAGAGTCAAGGAAACAGAGCAATGGTTTGAAATGTTCATTGCTTTGCCCAAGGCATTAAGTTGCAAATGTAAAACCATTTTCTGTACGCATACCAAATGCTTATAAATTGGACTTTCTGAGAGCATGTTTACATTTGTCATTTGATTCATTTGACTAGTCCTAGAATTTTGCCATAGGGCCCTCCACAGGGTTCTGATATTTTCTGAATTCAGCAAAGGAATATGAGTCATAATTTGTGTTCATAACCCCACCTTTTAAAAACTGAAATTTTGAGCTGAGATTTATATTGAGAGAAGGCGTGTGATATGGAGGATCTGCATCTACACGTTATAAAGTCTGATGCAGAGCACACTCTCATTTGTAGGGTTTTTTTTGGAAAAAATAGCAATATAGTTCCAAGTAGAATGGTGAAAAACAATTACAAATCTCCATAATTGCCAATGACAAATGTGTACTGATGCTTGTCTAACACGATTATTTCTTAAAGAACATTAGGACAGCAGTTTGAATGAGAGTTCAATCAAAGGGCAATTTTCTACTGAAATCCCAATTTCAGTTCTGAAATAGTTCACTTCCAACCAGCAATCATTTATAAATTTATTAAACTCATACTTTCCAACTGTCCTGATTTGGCAGGGACTGTTCTGAAGAATCTTGCCATTAACCAAAATGGTGCATAGGACCCCAAATGAGCCCAAGATATTTTATTACATGGGCAGAAAATTCCACAAGCATCCCTCCACCTTTTTGACAGTACAAACACAACAATAACAAATTATGCATCTAATAATTTACTGCATTTTCAAAACCCCCTAAATCTGCTGTTTAAAGAGCTGCCTTGCTAGCTCTTCCTGGCCCTGCCTACTGGAAAGAAAAGTATACAAACTCCACTTGTCCCAATTGGCAGGGAGAGTCCTGATTTGTTTTTTGTTGTCCCACTTTTTCAGCTGTCCTACCTTCTTTCTTTGTTCCCAATTAACTTCAGTCACTGACACCTTTCAAAGTACAGAAGTAGTTTGCAATCAGTTGGCAGATGTGGTGGGAGGACGGGACAGTAAAATATTGTGCTTCCCTACTGAGTGAGGGACAAGCCAAAATACATGATCCCCATTGGAAAGAAACTCGGGATATGCAGAAAACAAGTAAATAATAATGATAATATTTGCAATCTTGACAATGCTCTGAAGTTGCTTCGTCATAAGTGTCCCAATTTTCAGCTAGGAAAGGTGGCAGGAGAAGTAAACAGCACTTCCCCATTCTAGTAAAAAGTCCTGGGGTTCTTGATTACTTGTACTATCTGTCTTTTCTTTATTGAGTTACTGACTTCCTGTCTCTCATCTGGACAAGATTTTCACTTTTTAAAACAACCTTCAAAAAGATATCTATATTACAATATAAAAGTAAAGTAGGAATTGGGAGAAAAGAGTCTTGTATCACATTTAACACTAACTGCTTTTCACACCTGAAGAAATAGACTCTAATCTAAAAAACCTGTGCGGAAATAAATTGGTTAGTCTTGAAGGTGCTGCTATACTCCCCACCCCTTCCATTTCTCTTCTGTATGTTTTCTTAAAAGAAGACATCTTGCCTTCTTATAGCTTTCTGGAATTATTGGTATTTTTTTTTAGTAATGTATTAATTTCTGGTATGCATTCTGACTCTCTAATATCATGGTTTAAAGCAGTCTGTATGTATCTTGAGGAGATCTGACCTTGTTCATTTTTCCACTCAGGTAATTTCATTGATGTGTAGGTCTCTCCTTTCAAAATTTAAATGTTACAAGTTCAAAGTTCCAAATTTGGATAAGTTGAAAACTACTGCTTCCCCAAGGGCAGGAGAAAACAACAAAACTGCATGAAGAATATTAGAAACTTGAGCAGGGTTCATAGTGTCTCTAAGATCAGAGTTTAGAACCATCAGGAGCTTACAGCTTAAAACCATCAATAAGCCACTGATTATCCTGCTTCTGGGAGGTGGCATTCTTTATACATCTTCCAGTTCTGAGGATAGTCCCTGCAAAGCTTGTCTTGACCTTCCTTCTCCTGTCCCTCTGTCCCTCTACTCTTCTAGGTAATCAGGCTATAAAATTAGTGTAAGCTCTTCAGTGCCATTCAGGAAGGCATAACCTCAGAAATATATGGGTCACCTAGCTTCCTTAAGGGCTGTTCCTTTGGAGGAGTCTTCATCAGACTTACCTTGCCAGTTGGAAAAGAAAAAGAACCAGCAATCTCTTGCAGGAACAACAGCTCTCCCTTATGAGGACTACAGCACTAATCTCAACTATGCTGTCCAAGGTTTTTATGATGATTTCCTTTTGATACTGCTATCCTGGACATGAACCTGTTTAAGCAAACATGCTGTTGCTGTATTAGCCATGGTCCTTCTCTACCCGAACAGAACCATAATTGAGTATTCAACCTCTAGGTTCCTTTCCCTGGGTATTTTGTTAAGTTAGGCCTAACTATTTATTCACAGTGGCAATTGGAGACATAATTTAACAGGGGGATTGTAGTATCATGGCAAGCAATGAGCAGTCGGGCTTTATTTCCTGAAGTATGGACTGGTTGAATCTTCTGGCGGTCCAAGGCATAACTTCAGAAATATATGGGTCACCTAGCTTCCTTAAGGGCTTCCTCTTATAGCCCAGAATTTCTGTTAGAAATACAATTTTAACCTTGAAATTAATTTTGTCATCTTTGTGGAAATCATAAATTCACTAGACAAGAGAGCAAATCAGAAAGAGAGATCTGCGTGGATTGGGTGTCATGTTCCTGGAAGCAAATGGATGTATTCTAATGGAAATCTGTCCCCAGGAAACCAAGAAGAGCATCCTTGATGTCTGTGTGTGTGTGTGTGTGTGTGTGTGTGTGAGAGAGAGAGAGAGAGAGAGAGAGAGAGAAGAAATCAGGAGGGAGAGAGGGAGGGAGGGAGGGAGGGAGGGAGGGAGGGAGGGAGGGAAGGAAGGAAGGAAGGAAGGAAGGAAGGAAGGAAGGAAGGAAGGAAGGAAGGAAGGAAACAGGCAGACTTACTAGGCACACGGTTGATGGCTTTGAGAGGCCTCAGGACTCGAACAGTGCGTATTGCAGATAAGTTGATATTTTGGAGATCCAGTGAATACTCCACCATCCTGAAAATGGAGAGTGAGAGAGAAAGATGAAGAAAGTGTGAGAGAGGTTTGAAATCAACAGGGAAAATGAGCTACTGAATCGTTGAAGCAGTTCACACCAGCAGAATGCCACCAAATCCCTTACATCTGTCATTTCTTCCTCACCAGTCTACCCTGAGACTTTGCTGGTAGGGAAGTATGAGAAAGGAAGCATCACTCCATGCATGCTAATAATATGTCAGGCTGCCCCCAGCCCCATGCTGTTGAGACTAGTCATTCAGCAATGCATGTCCTGGGTTCCATCTCTATGAAGCTATTCTGGTGACAGTATGAGGCTGCTGATCAGAGTGCATATCTCCTTCAGGGACCCTTTGAACTAAATCTGACTGCTCTGTGTGCTTTACAAAAGCAGGCAACATAATTCCATGGTAAAGTATAAAAATACAGCTCCTCCTTCATAATCTGTACCCACTAGACTAGAGATGAGCTGAAAGGGAAGCACTGATAAGCTCTCAAACTCCACTGAATTATTTTCCTCTCTTGGCATTTACCTGTTTTGTCTGTCACTAGGGATCAGGGGCTTTGCTAGAAGCCAAATCGCCAGTGGTTATGGAACACTTCATTCCTTACCCAGGGAAGAAAAGCAGCAAAGAGACCAACCAGAGTATACATTATTAGAAATGAGTTTTTGAACTGCATTGTGTTCCTGTAGAAATCAGAAAAAATTAGCTTGACACAGAGTGCAGTGCCACCAAACAAGTTCCTTGCCCAAGATTATGACTCCTGTGATTGTTGGAGGTATATTATTTACATTCTTTCTCTGAATATAAGGACTTTTGTTTACGGTAAAGTGCTCAACATTGGCAGGAAGATCATTCTTAGTTTTACCTAAGTAGTTGCAAACATTTTTTTTTTTAAAAAATGAAAACAAAGAAGAAATTGGGTTGTTGTAGGTTTTTCCGGGCTATATTCCGGCCATGAAAGCCTTTGACAATACAAAGAAGAAATTGCATTGATAGCTATAGGTGATCATTCATGGCCAATTACAATTGTCTTTCAAAGGTAGAATCTTGGCAATGAGTCTGTAAGTGACTGTGGAGACCTATTCCGGATCTGCATGATCTTTCACAATGACGACAGTTTTCCAGATGGAAGATGAACCCAACAAGGGTTTGCTTGATGCACATGTTCTTCTTGCCACATTTCTTCCTTTTGCCCGCTATTCATGCCTCTTCAAAATCCACAGCACCATTAGTAACAGCTGGCCTCCAGTTAGAATGTCTGAGGGCAAGGTCTTTCCAGTTCTCAGTGTTTATTTCACTTTTTTAAAGATTAGCTTTAAGCCCATCTTTCAATCTCTTTTGCTGTTCTTGAGCTGAGAATAGAGTAACTGCAGAGGAGGGTTTTGGTGGGAGGATTCACCATCTTTTTCCAAAAAGGAAGAGAAGGACAGGCAGAGAGATCATCAGCCTTTAGTTTTCTCAGTGTTAAGTGAGAGGCCAAGTTTTTCATATGCTTCTGTAAAGCTTTCTAAAGTGGCTTATATGTCTTCCTCTAAATAAGCACAGATTACATTATTGTGAGCACATTGGAGTTCCACAACAGAAGTTGTTGCTACCTTACTTTTGGCTTTTAGTCTGCTAAGGTTAAAGAACTTGCAATCTGTCTGACATGTGATTGCCACACCGGTGGGAAGCTTCACATCAACAAGGTGCAGAATCATTACTATGAAGATGGAAAATGAGGTTGGGGCAATAACGCATCCCTGTTTGACACCTGATCCACGTTAAATGGGTCACCTTGGGATCCATTGCTGTCCAAGACTGTTGCCGTCATGTCATCATGGAGAATTCGCAGGATGTTCACAAATTTATCAGGATTAGTATTGAATGGTCTTGCAGCTTCAAAGACTGGCTGCTTCCCACCTGGGGGTATCCTTTGTTGGATCCTCACTTGCCTAATTTCCAACAGACCTCACAACTTCTGAGAATGCCTGTCATACATGTGGGCAAAACATCAGGAGAGAATGCTTCTGGAACAAGGCCATACAGCCCAGAAAACCCACAGCAACATAATGATCCTGGCCATGAAAGCCTTTGACAACACATTTTCAGGGTGTTCTGTGGATAGATTATTCTTAAGTGTTGTTTGGACAAAGGCTCTTGAAGGACTTGGGTTTTCATTTTATGCCTTTTCTTCCTTGAATGTAGATTTGGGAGTAATCTTGATGGCCATCATGGATCAAATTGATCAGTAGTCTGTCCAGAAGTCATCAGTGCTTGTCATGGCTCTTGTGAGAAGTACATTGTGGTGGTCACTAGCACTTATAATTATATAGTCTAAGAGGTGACAATGCTTTGATCAGGAATGTCCTAAACTTTTTTTTTTGGTGGAAGGATGAGTTGATGGAAGTGTGTTATACTAGTTGCCTGCTGATTTTTGGCAAGATTTATTTGGAGTTATGAGAGTTGTTCATTAATGCCAATGGGTGCTTCAAACAGATGCTTCACCAGGTCATTTCTGATAGCAAAGCAGACTCTGTGTGTTCATTGTTCTTGTTCAGGCAGTCCCTTTTTCTTCCTTCATCTGTCCCTCTTCTGCTCTTCAGGTCTCTTGGAGTGTTGCTATATTGATGTTAAAAGGCTTCAGCTCCTTTGCAATAATAGTAGTCCTATATTCAGGATGTTTATTATATGTGTTATACAACAGTATTCATTTGTCTTTTTTGACCGCAAGGTGGTGACCCCTCTGGATGTGGCAGTCCAGTCAGGGATAAATAAAACTCCCAATGGCTCAAAATGACTGAAACAAATTAGAGACAAAATGCATGTCAACAGAGATAAATGTAAGGTTGACATTCATTTTGTTACTTGTTGTCCAGCTCTCTAATTTATTATAGTATTTTGAATCACTATTGAGGTATCAGCTACCTCACCTAATTTAATATCATCTGCAAATTTAATAAGTATCCTTTTATCACCCATGCAATTTGCAAAGATCTTTTACATTCATATCCCCATTGCAATGAAAGAAACGTCACTTTAAGTTTCACGTGGAAATGTCTACGTAACATAATGGTATATACTCAGGAGTAAATCAGGAAGCTCAAGTAAGTGTGTGCCCAGAAATGCAGCTCTAGACTGATTTCAGCTGTCATGAGGAAGCCCCTTGAGAGAATCAGTGAATGACTCACGCACCTCCCTTGTGGAGATTTGACTCCAGTGCTGTGTTCTCTAACTGGAAGTCAATAACAAAATCTCTGCTGGCTTCAATTGGGTCAAGGTCTCATTCCAGGTACAATTGCCTGTCTATTGCAAACTTGCCCTGTTGCACCCCAATTAAAGGGAAAGGCACACAAAAGGATTGTCTACATTTTTATGAAACCTAGCAAACTATGCAGCAGGCATTTATCCTGAATGACCTTTAAAGCAGGGCAGTTCTAAGAAATGGCAGGGTGCGTGACACGGCTGAGGGCAAGCAGGGCAATGCCAATGACCCATCTATGCCTTCTCACCTTTGGCTGTCTGAGAGCTGTTGCAAGGAAAGGTTTTGTTTCATCCATTTTCAACCTTAGTTAGGCGACTATGAATCACCTCTTCACTTTTTGAAACACTATTGATTCAAAACATTCCCACTGAGGTGTACATTCCTTTGAAATCAACATCACTTGCCAAGCAAATGTGTTCATTACGACAGTAAAAAAACCAAAAAACAACAACCCTCACATTTTTTCTGAAATGAGATGTGAGAAGGAAACATCATGTCGGCACAGAACATCATTAAAATTGATAGTGAACTATTTAATTTTTGAGATAGTCAAGCACCTGAATGCTACCAATAACCTCAATGATGTTATATTATTTGGCTGGAGATAGGGAAATGGGATGAGGTTTATTTCTTACTGGTTATAGGTAGAATACTAGAGAAGGGCACTCTTCATCAGTAGAGCAAAATCTCCCAAGTGATGATCTCAGTCAGCTTCAAATAAATGCAATGCCCGCTGCCTCATACTCTGAAAAATTGCTGCCAGGCAGTGTATCTCTAGTCTTTTCCAACATTGTGTGCTAGACTACAGCTCTCATCATCCCCAGTTAGTATCATTGTGCTGAGTGGAGGACTTTGGACTCAAAAAAGCTTAACAAAGGTTAAAGTATATACAGCTGATAATTAATACCATACAAAATTTAAAATATAACTAAATAAGCAATAACATTTAAATCAGTTAAAACATGTTCATTGGAAAGAACAACAAATATACAAACATGGAAGTCCCTTTTTCCCTGAATAGCTTGTCCTCAGAGGCCTGATAAAATGGAAAGGTCTTTACTGGCTGTGAAAAGATAGCAAGGAAGGTGCTTGTCTAACTTTTTAAATAAGGGAAGTCCAGAGTCTGAGTGCAGCTGCCAAAAAGGCTCACTCCCATATTCTGATGTATAATTGAATGTGGTAGAACAGAAAGAAGGGCCTCCTTGGAAGATATTAAAACATAGGGAGGTTCATATGGGGAACAGAGTTCTTCAAATGACATCAGATCACAGTTAAACACCCCCCCCCCCATTGTAATTTTCTATCAGCTCTTGCATTTTACCACTGTCCACTGACCTATAGACCAGGCATTCAAATGACCAGGCATTCATATTACGCCTCTAGCCCTAATTACTATTGGCTCTTGCACTTTTCCACCAGCCCGTGTCCAGAAATTATTGCACAAGCTCCTAGCCCCCCGAGCTCAGTATTTATTACTGTTCAGGCTATTGATTGTTTTATGATGTTCTGTTATGTTTTATAATGTGCTTATTTTATTTTTAAATTTTTATTTTATTGCATCATGCTTTTAATCTAGGTTTGTCCCCATGTAAGCTGCCCCAAGTCTCTTCAGGGAGATGGAGGCGGGGTATAAAGATTAAGTTATTACTATCACTTTTGTATATAATAACTAGCATTTTGAATTTTACTTGGAAACAGAAGTGGAATGGTTGCAACAAGGGAACTGTGTGCTCCCTGTAACCAGCCCTGGTTAA